GTGAGCTGTCCCTGCCCATGGCCGGGGGTTGGAACTAGATGATCTTAAGGTCCTTTACAACCCAAACTAGTCTGTGATTCTATAAGGCTCCAGAACGAACTGCTGGAAGCTGGCCCTTGCCTGCCTGCAGCCTCGGTCCTGCCTGCACCTATGCCACCCATGCTGCAAGACAGGCAGACCCTGCAGACAAATGTGTGCACTCAGCAGGCTGTGCCGGTGCTCCCTCGTCATTCGGTGGGAGAGCACACACAGCGTGTCAAACCTGTGCAATTTGGGAATTTCCTGCCTCTTTTTAAAGACCCTTCTTCACATGCACACACTCTGCTGTTTTCCAGTCATCTGTGATTATCCTCTTGTAATCCCAGCTAATCCCATTTCCTGGAAAGTTTGGAATAATACAGAAGTTGAGCTAATAATCTTTCTTCTCTTCTCCTTTTCTCCTTGGAACGGTTGCTACCAGAGCCTTGCCTCCATCTATTAGGATTTACTCACTTTCTGACAACCACTGAAACAACTTCACCCTCTGCAACTTCACTCTCGAGCTACACAGCCTTCAGGCTTGCTCAGGAGCCAGCAGTCATCTTCCTTGGCCTGGGGGCATCTCTGCTAGCACGCCACCACCAAGAAAAGCACCTAAGGCTTCCATGCTCAGCTTGTGGGAACTGCAAATACAATTGTGGGCACCAGCTGTGTGGATACACCACGACAGCACGGGCAGAAATGTCTCCTTGGGAAAGAGGGGGAGGGAACAAGCTGTGGGAGGGAACAACCTGTTTCCACTTCCTCCTGGCTTGGCAGGGTGTAGAACAGCACAGAGTGTCTCCTCCAGGCTCAAGAACACAGCAGCTTGCTCAGGACACTTCATTGGGCAGCTTGAGGAGCTTCCTGTACCAGCCTCAGCCCTGGGATTCATCTGCAGAGGTGGAGCAGCTCCATCTGTGAGTGGGAATTAAGCACTTTCTTCCCAGTAAAACAAAGCAACAGGATGCTCTGACTCTGCAGACCGAGTTGTTTACAAGGAGAGACAACAGAAGCGAGCACAGTTGTCAGAGGAGTTTTTACATTTCTTAGACTACCTAATCACTGACACACAGAAAAAAATAAATCAATCCTGTGAACCAAAGCTGTGGCCTTCTTCAGTTACTCTGCTCCATCCTGGAAGTTAAGACAAAACAGGAACACACCCAAGAGGCATGTGAAACACTGTAAGCACCAAGGCCTGTGCTTGTCAACAGCAGGATGCATGCTCCTATTGGTTATGTGTGTTCCCTGACCTGGCTTCTACCTGTCCAACAAAACCCACAGTGTCTCTGTGTGCTGGGGCTTGGGACACTATCACCCAGCAAGGAAGTTTGCACACGGAAGGGCAAGAGAGGCCGTGCTGGCTGCATGAAGGGCCATGTTCAGGACCAGAGCAGAATGGGGCTTGTTAATTCATGTTCCTGCCTGACACCTGAGCAGCCCATGCACGCAGTACAATGGTGTGTATGCTGCAGGCTCCTTGAGGCCAGGCAAGCATTCATGCTGACAGATGCCTGCAGGGCTCAGAGGACACCTTTCTGCAGAATTAGAGGTGGGGATGCTGAACACAAGCAGCAGAGCTGGAGGAAAGCCAAGCAGCAAACCCTACCTACTAATGAGTGAACTGATGGATCAGGAAACTGTAGGCACCGGGTTTCCCCTCCCCACGCCAGGGAGGGGCCCCAGGGGGGGGCCTTCTTTTCACTGCCAGGAGAAGAAAGTCTGTGCTCTTCCAGCTCCTACCTCATATTCAATAGCAAGGTCTGTGTGATCGTCAATGTCCACTTTGGCCATCAGCACCTTCCCCTCCTGCTTGGCCACCATCTTCTCTAACCTGGGGCCTAAGATCTTGCAGGGGCCACACCATCTGATAGAGAAAGAGGAGAGAGGACATTAGAGGAGGCAAGCGCAGCAGCCACCATTCAAAAGCCAGTCTGGAAACACCATTCCCAAACCACGGTTCCACAAAGGAACTGTCAGAGAGTTCTCTGTGTGTGGTGATGGGGCCGAGTGGAAGAAGAGGTCACCATTCAGCATTCGTAGTGCTTTTGATGTCATTTTGATCACACCACAGTCCGCGCTGCCTGCCTTGGTGGTCCTCCTGTCCTCCAACCCTGCTTTGTGTCCGTGCTGGTGGGTACGTGCAGAGCTGTGACCCTGCTGCCCACAAAGCTGCCCTGGAGCCCGTGCTGCTGCTGGGGTAAGCAGCCCGCTCCAATCAGTTTCTGCCAATCATCAGATCACAGATTTCCCCTCCACACTCGTTGCAGCGTCTACAGATATTCCCCTTTAGCTGCAAAACTCGCAGAGGTATCACGTCTGTTCGAGGAGAGACCACCTATGCCAAACCCAAGTGCAACAATGGTGGACTTTGCGAGGCCCTGTACACAGAAAACACCCCCTGCATCCTCTAACGGCACCAGTTAAGATGGTATGTACTTGCTCAGCTCAAGGAAAACATAAGTTAAAGTTCCAAATGCCCTTCTCTTCTAAAACTGAAGCTCTGGTAAATTTTGTTCCTCCTCAGCCTCCCTCTGTATCACGTTTCAGGCTTTCAATTATTTGTCCTCTCCTCCCTGGATGATCCTGGTTAACATTCATTTTGGTTTGTCAGTTTGGTCTATTTACAACAGAAGTTATTGGGCTGTTTCATACTTTGATTGCCCAGGATCAGCCACAACAAGCTCACATGACAACACCGCAGGACTAGGAAAATACATGAGAAAACAAAGATAATCAGTATCGTTAGTCCAGCAGATAACATCTAGGAGTATTTTTACTGGCAAGAGGATGACAGTGTTTTTATCGATGACAAATGCAGCTGTATTATCTGACAAATGCAGATTAGAAACGGCATCATGTGGCTGCTACTAATTCCTAAGGGCATTTACAGTCAAGAGCCCTGCCTCAAGAGCACACAGCGCAGAAAACTGGAAAGACACAACATGACAGTGCAGGGGAACACCAACTGCAGTGTTCTTCCACAGCTGTTCACATCAGTTAGTGATTTTAGGAGGATATTTAATCTACAAAGGGGTATCAGAGCTTTTTCTTGAGGTGTCTCTGGCAGGATGATTCAACACCGGGGCCAGGGTGTCACCCAAGCACTTGGGAGCTGCAGTTACGCTGCCCCGAGGAGTGCCTTCCTGGCACTTGTGTTTTATGCTCCCGCAGGGTGTAGCTACACCTACAGTGGTGCAACGCGAGAGGAACCCTCTGCAGATTGTGCTGTAGGCGCAGAAGCACCTTTTAGCACCAGATGCTCAGCAGGGTGGTGAGCAGCTCCACAGCCTGGGGAGCCCTCGGGCGCACTCACATCCCTGCACCGTGTCAGGAAAGCAGCAGGGACACACCTGCACGTGTGATGGATGGCAGAGAGGGGCACAAGAGCCATGGAGGGGAACTTACTGCGCGTGGAAGTCCACCACAACGGGTTTGGGGTTGTTCACCACCCGGTCCTGGAAGTCGCTACCATCCTGCACATTGAATGTGCTCCTGCAGTTTGCTGAGGTGCTGAAGGCCCTCCTGTGGGGTGCCAGGGGGGCCTGTGGCGGCAGTGTCCTGGGG